GTGGCACAGAATAGTTGATGGACATGTTGTTCTCCTGCTTTGCAGCTTTGTTTGAGTCTGAATCGCGTCTTAAACGGGTACAACTAAGAAAAGCAGATCAATATTTTCTTCTTGTTGTTATTTAATGATGGTTGGCAACCGGCGAAAGGAGCATTAACCGCCTCGATCACTATCTTCTATCCGCCATTGTTGTTTTGAAAGTGAATACCCGACGTGTGCGCCATACATCACATTGTACGTCAGGTAAAGGTGTGTTGTCGGCTATGGCTCTCCCATTGAGATGTGTAACAAGTGCTTCACACACCTGTCGCATAAAACGCCTTAAAAATGTAACAGTCGCTTTAAAAACACAACCCAACGCGCTAAACATGAACAAACAAAAACACCCGTGTTACATTATCATGTATATCCAGGACATCTCTTCTGAACCAAGACAAAGTGGTGCTACAAAGGAATTATTTCTATAGGAGAGTGCATTTAATAGCAGTCTGGCCTGCCACAAAATGCACCGCTAAAAATACAGTTTCTGCTTGTCCCAGCATTTATTAAATTTAAGAGTGAAGTTGTAGGACTGATGCTGGTTAATGGTGTAGGTTTGTGGATGTGACACCTGAACTTGTGTAAAATGACGACCACAGCATATTCTTTTCAGTGAACTTTTGGTTAGTTCACTGTAGCTAGGCAGAGGTGTCTTAAAAGTACCACCTTGTGCAGAAAAAAATGAAGTTCCAGTATAAGAAAGAATAAGAAGAGAAAAAAGCTACACCCTGCTAAATGAAGTAACTTTTAAACATTACTCTAAATGTAACATATAGAAAGGAAAAGTATACGTTACCTAGTAAGTATACTACTAATGCTTCTTGGGACTATATTGGCCCCCGGTATATAGAAGTATACTTGAAATTAGCTTTTAGATGTACTTTTTGTTCACTATAAATGTACTAGCATAATGTCCTTTCCAGTCTATAAGAGTATACTTAAAATATACTGTACTCTAACACAATACTAAACTTCCAAGTATACTGTTAATTTACTTTTTAGTTCATATTTGGCTTACTTCTGATTGAAACATAGTAATTAGAATAGAATAGAATAGAATAGAATTCAACTTTATTGTCATTGCACATGCACAGGTACAGGGCAACGAAATGCAGTTTGCATCCATCCAGAAGCGCTTTAGCCATGATATAGATATATTACAATATATATTAGCAATAATATAGATATGTAAGTATATTACAGAAATGGTGATCTTAGTCCGGAGGCTCCTGTAGCGCCTCCCAGAGGGCAGGAGGGTGAAGAGTCCATGTGATGGGTGACTGGGGTCTTTGATGATTTTCCCAGCCCTTTTCAGACACCGCTTCCTGTAGATGTCTTTTATGGCAGGAAGTGGTGCTCCGGCGATGCGCTGGGCAGTTTTCACGACCCTCTGCAACGCCTTCCGGCGCGAGGCAGAGCAGTTCCCGTACCAGACTGTTATACAGTTGGTCAGGATGCTCTCGATGGTGCAGCGATAGAAGTTCACCAGGATGTCTGAGGACAGGTGGTTCTTCCTCAGAGTCCTCAAGAAGAAGAGGCGTTGGTGAGCCTTCTTGACCAGCTTGGAGCAGTTGGTCGTCCAGATGAGATCCTCGGAGATGTGGACTCCCAGGAACTTGAAGCTGCTCACACGCTCCACAGCCGTCCCCTTAATGTGGATGGGTGGATGTGGGTCAGCATTCCTCCTGTAGTCCACGATGAGCTCCTTGGTCTTCTCGGTGTTAAGCAGCAGGTTGTTTGTGTCGCACCACTCAGCCAGACGATCCACCTCCTCCCTGTAGGCGGCCTCATCGTTGTCACTGATGAGGCCAATCACCGTGGTGTCATCTGCAAACTTAATGATGGTGTTGGAACCATCAGCAGGTCTGCAGTAGTGGGTGAAGAGGGAGTAGAGGAAAGGGCTCATCACACAGCCTTGTGGTACACCGGTGTTCATTGTGATTTTAGATGAGCAGTGGTTATCCAGCCGGACATGTTGGGGGCGGTTGGTCAGGAAGTCATTTGCAGATGAGGGAACTGATGCCCAGGTCTGTCAGTTTCCTGATGAGTTGTGAGGGGTGGATTGTATTGAACGCTGAACTGAAGTCTATAAACAGCATTCTGGCGTAGGTGTTGTTGTTGTCCAGGTGTGAGAGGACAGAGTGCAGTGCGATGGAGACTGCATCCTCTGTGCTCCTGTTCTGGCGGTATGCAAATTGGTGGGGGTCCAGGGTGGGGGGGAGAAAGGATTTGAAGTGTGCTAGGACCAGCTGCTCTAAGCACTTAGTGATGATGGGGGTGAGTGCTACTGGGCGGTAGTCATTGAGGCTAGATGGGTTGGAGTTTTTGGGTATCGGGACGATGGAGGTGAAACATATTTTTCACATGTAACAAATCAATCAATTCCCCAGACAGTCAGATGATAGTTCCAACTATCAGAAGGCTTCCTTTGCAGAGAACTACACTCATAGTTCAAGTACCAGAATTATATTGTAAACAGGTGAGAAAATGATTTTAGAGTTGAGGTTTATTAACCATTAACCCTTTTCACTCACGGTTTAAACAATTATTTTCATTCCACTTTGTTCAAAAGGTAAAAGACAAATTCTTGTTTAAAACATCAATTATTTGTTTCATAGTTGTTTTAATTTTACAGTTAAAGCACTACAATGCATGCTGGTGTCACGATCCTGGGTCTTAGGACCCAGTGTTTTGAGTTTTAGTTCATCTTAATGTGTATAGTATGTTAAGCTCATTAGGCCTCCTATGTTCATTTGCTTATTAGTTCCCCCTTGTGTTTCCAACCCATGTTAAGTCTCCCCTGCTCTTCATGTGTTTCATGTCTGTGTCTTACATTGTCAAGTTCCGGTTATCATGTCTGCGTCTCATTATGTTTCCTATTTTATTTGGAAGAGATCCTGTGCTTTTATATCATGGTTTATGTTTTGAGTCCTTTGATGTACTGTTTCTTGTTTCCCTAGATCTCAGATATTTATGGTTATCTTAGGTTTAGCTCTTTGGCTTTGTTATATGGCTTCCCTGTGTTCCATGTTATGTCCACTGTGATGTTTTGTACCACGTTTCAGGTTCCTATGTTCTGTCTCCCCAGTTGCTGTTAAGTTTGCGTGTTTTAGAATTCAGTCAGTGTGTTTCCTGTTTTACTTTGAAGGTCCATGCCTCATGTGAGTGTTTCTAGCTTTGCTTGTCTCGTCAGTCCTGATTTCTCCCAGCTGTGCCCTCCTTCTGTGTCTCATTCCCTCGTTATCCCTCTGTGTATTTAAACCCTGTGTTTCTCTTTGTCAGTGTCGTAGTCTCCCTCATGCTGTGTGTGATTCTCCCCGTGGTTCCTGGTATACTTTATGTTTAGCTTTCCCAGTTTAGTTTAGTACTGTTTTTGTGTTTCACCCTTTGCCAGCATTAAAGCTGTGTTTTTGAGTTTACGTTTTGTCTCCGTGAGTTTGCGTTTGGGTCCTCTCCTGCCTGCCACACAGTCGAATCATGACAGCTGGGTATTTCATTGTACTTCTTAGTATACTTCAGGTATACTTCAAATACTCTACATACTACCGTACATAGTATACTACAAGCACTACTATACTACAAGTATAGACAATTTTTTTTATACTTTTCTGTATACTTCGAACTGGACTTAAAGTATGCTTAAATGTAATGTGGTCTAAAATCTATAAAAGTACATAGAAAGTGAACTAAAAGTATACTTCCTTGTTTTCAAGTTTACTTATAATATACTTGATATTCTTTTTTTGTAAGGGTGAGACTGGTTGTTTGATACAAAGTGGACTGTAATTATGTTTCACATTGTTTGAATAAACAAATAAATGTATTAATATATGAGGTTCAATTCAAGAAATTCCATTTTAGTGTAGCTGCAACTTAGTCCTTAAGTTAAAAATGATGCTGCATATTGTAGTTTACATGTCATAATACTCTCACAATGAATTGCATTTTATGGTAATACACTCGGAATGAGGATTTAAGTAATTACTCTTAGATCTACAGTAAAAAACACCAGAAATCCAGATGGTGTAATAGTATAATCTCAGTAACATCACCAATTAATACATTTGCTGTATTTTACAGCTGTTTCCATGAGTACAGTGAGTTACCATAAAAATAATGTAATCTCATGGAATTTTCCCACAATGACATGCAAATTACAGTACTAAACTGCTAACATCCTTTAGAGTTTTTTACTGTTGATTTTGCAGTACAAAGCTATGGAAATTACTGCAAAGGCTAACAGTGTACTTTGTTTTAGAGCTGCTTGTTGGTTAAAAATTGATTTGTGAAGAAATTCATGAAGACATTACTTGTTCAGGTGAAAAAATGCTTGGCTTCTCGAGCTCTGACTCTCTCAGTCTGGCTACCATGTGGGAACCCCCCCCCCCAAAAAAAAAAAACCAAAAACGAAAAGCTTGTTCTTAATTTCTTCAGTCAGTGATGAGTAAAATGTGCTAGCTTTGTGGGGAATTATTTTTTTGTATAGAGAAATAAACTGGTTTCAGTGTAAATCATCTAAATTAGTGACACTCTATTTCCTTGTAGCTTGCGGGTTATTTGTTTTAAGGTGCACGTTTCTGAGTTATGCCAGGGAATCGTGCATCTCTGAGGAGCTATGGTATCCAGGATCAAGCATAAATGATTACATAGATATCAGTATATGTGTGTGGTATCAGTTATCAATGTTGTGCCACAGTTTTCCATTTTGGACTTTGTGTTATGCACTACCTACACCAGTAAGACTCAACAATAAAACCACTGACAGCATAAATGAATGCATTGATCTGGTGGGAAACTTCGGCTCCTGACATTCATATGAACACTTTGTCATGCACTCCTCACTTAAACATACGGAGAATTTTTCCCCTTTTTCTCTTCTTGTGCTTGAGGTATAATTGCATGTATGCTTAGTATCGTAATGTGTATGAGTAAAGGATCAACATAAAAATGTTGCCTTTCAGGGTTGTGTTGGGAAACTGCAGGACTGGTTTGCCAAAAACTACCTAAGCACAGCGGCAGGAGTGGTCTCCATGTTTATCTTACAGGTACAGTTTCTCCCCATTACAGCTGCCAGTTAGGAATGCAGCAGGTGTTGTCCACTAGTGGAAACCTTAACATCCATCAGATCAGCGATTCGTCTAGGGTTGGGGTTGTTTTATTTATTATTTTTATTTTTAGGGTAAACTCAAACATTTTCTGGCTAATGAGATTTTAACAGAATATTGTAAACTTTTTTTCTCTGCTCATCTTCTCTTTTTTTTTTACAGTTTCTTTGCATGTCTATCACCCTCCCTCTCTTTTGCTGCTTTGCTGTACGTGGACAGGGTTACTGAAAAAGGTCCAGAGGAACTCTACCTGCAATTCACAGATACTTTCCACATGTCAAGACGATGCTTTTCCCTATCTCAGCTTTTTATTAATCTGTTCCGAACACCAAAAAATCCGCTGCTATTTCCATCTGTCAAAAAGGGAGCTAGCTGATTATCGCCATTAAGAATATCATATGAGGTGACAGATCATTAAATGTGATACGGAGACATGTAATTGGATAAAAAGTGATGACATGATTGTGTTAGCACTATTCCAACCCTGTAGGATGTCAAGACATTTTCTCCCTGTGAGTGCTGGGTGTTCACCACTTCCTTGTATGTTAGACTTGAGATAGACTAAAACCATAGCAAAAGGACTCAAAATCTTGTAGGTAGTGTAGTGGTTTTTAGTACTGACATTTCACCCCCTCTTCTGTAAGAATTAGCCAACACCACCTGTCTTAGAAATGTCCTGCTTCTCTTCTAATTAAAGTCCTGGCTAACGTCACATCCTGGTGTTTTTAAAGTGAATCTGAGCATCTTCCATCTTCTACTGTTATCAGCTCAGTTTGGTAGACTGTCTAAAACCAGCATGTAGGCTTGTTTAGCCTCTTAACATCCGCCAGGTCATCAGTGAGTTGACTAGTATTAGCCACATGCTAATTAGGAATATTTTTGTGAGCTAGACAATGTTACTTTTCAAATGAAGTCACATACTTTTAGGCATTACAGTTTTTCTGATAAAAGCTTACCCCTCACCCCTAACACTAACCTTTGGTTGCCAGTGACAAAGTGGATGTAAATGAGGTTAAGAACTAGCATGACGTTGTAATGAGGTCGAAACTCTCAGTTGACTGCAGCAATGTTCTTAAGGTAGTGCCATTAAGATCAAATTATGTATAACCTGGTGTGCTGTGGTAATAAAGAAATCACAGTTGTCTCAGTTTTAAGTTGTGAAGTGTTTTAATTTTTTTATGATTTCTTTATTTAATCACGTTTATGTGTTTTCTGGTTTAGCTGATCCAGCTGATTTATCCTGTGAATTCCCCAGTAGTTCTTGAAAAGAGGGGCATTTAAACTTGTGTATGGTCCCTTAATGTATTTAATAAAATAATATATATGCTGATTGTGATTTATGGTGGGTTTTTTGTGTGTCCGTTTGTCTTATCTGCCAGTACACTTTCTAAGAGATGAGTCAGAATGCAAGCCCAACCCACAGATCTCTGGTATTTTTAGGATGTTCTTGTTTGGTAGGGCCCAACTATTGGCCCCAAATTATCTTAAAGACCTCATGGGTACCATATCATCCCATTAGAGCACTTTGCTTTTAGACAGCTGGGTTACTTGTTGCTCCTAGAGTATTTAAGTATTTAGTATTTGCTCACAGGGGGTCATATGATTGCTGGGGTTTTCTCTGTTTTCTTTGTTGTAAGGTCTTTAACTTACAATATAAATCGCCTTGAGGCAACTGTTGTTGTAATTTGGCACTATGTAAATTAAGTTGAATTCCCAGAGCTTCTTTTCTCATTACATCCGTCATACTCCACTAACAAATAACAAAACAATCAAACAAAACAAGAAAAACACTACAATACTCCAAAAACACATTTGCGTACCTCCAGATTTTCTTTCTCTCTCTTTCGCTCTTTTTTTAATTTAATTTTTTACGTATCTGTCACCCTTAAATGTTTTTTTGTCTTTCTTATTATGTATTTTTGTGCTGGCTTTGAGCAACTGTCTGAGAGCAACTTTTTAGCCCTGAAAACAACTAAATACAGCTTACAGTTAAACTGCTAAAAGTGACATGGGAGTAGTTTCCTGCTACTTTCGGCTGCTCCCTTATCACAAGGGGTCACCAATGAGAGCAGTGCCACATGTCTGATTTGGGAGATCCCCTTCCTGATGTAATCCCAAAGGCAAGTTGTCTTGTCTTGTTGCTGGAGTCTTGAAGAGTACCATCGCAAAGTTAAAAAAAAAAAAGGCAAAACCACTCATCACCCTTTAAGGGTAAGTATATGGGACCTTTAAAATATGATGATCATTTAGAGTATTATGTAGGATTAGGAAGAAGTAGGTATCTCTGAATTGTGAACCAGCACTGCATGAAATAAAGAAATGTATTTATAGATAGCGGTAGTGCAACGGGCATCAATCTGGATCACTGTGTCTGTCTTTTGACTTACATGGCAGGTATTAATGTAATGCCTGTGGCCATGTGGAAGCTTTGATAATGAAGGTGATGTTTATTAAAAAGCATCTCTGTGGCAGCAGAACCACACAGGATGCTTGCGTTTGCGCTGAAGATTTATCAGTCTGGCATGGCGAGAAATGCATGTTAACAACATCCTCCTGTGGTGTGATATTTGTCCTGATTGATGTCTCCAACAATTTTTCCTGAGATGTTTTTATGATCGCTGTCTTCTTTCAGCTTCAGGCATCCTTTGAGTGTGTTGTTGTGGAGTGGCATATTTAACCCTTTAAGACCTATAGAACCAAGTTCGCCAGAGCTTATATTATATTTTTACATGCTGTGGAGCCATTTTTGGGAGCATTTCAAGTTGATATACATCAATACAATCATTATAGCCCAAATTTTAATAATATGTCTGCATTAAGTGCATAGTAATTACATAAATTGCAAAAAAGTGCAATAAACCACAAAAAAAATTAAAATCGTTTTTTTAATGATGTTTTTTTTAACATATATTTCTAGTTAGACAAATTTAAGAGGTTTATCCCTCAAAGCTGTAAATACAAAAAGTTGCACAAAATAGTTTCCCACTACAGGAAATTTATTTTGAGTGTCTTCATAGTTTTATTTTTGAAATACACCAATTTTTATATACTGCAGGAAAAACAAAAATAAATATTATAATGCAAATTTGCAAAAAAACCCAGCATATGCATCAAAATAAACTATTTCCAGCAGTGCAATTTGAGTCCTAAGCATCCCAGAAACGACACAGAAAGTCATAAAGTCAAAGATAACTTTTAAAAACACCCGTATAGGCTCATAAGGCCCTGATAGTAAAAAACTACATTTCCGCAAAATGACGTCACTTCCAGTTTCGGGCAGGACATGGAGGACATGCAATAGTTCGTGCTGATGGACGTAGGATGTGTTACAAACAGCTGATCGGATCAGTGTTTCTGGAATATTATGTTTTTGTTGCTGCAAGTGCTTTTTATGCAGTTTTTGCAAAGCTATATGTGGAAGGAAACTGTGAGCTAGGACAACCTGGTGGCATAAGATGTAAGTACCACTCCTCCTGGTTTCATATGCAAAAAAAATTATTGCGCTAGCTTACGTGGTTGCAGTGCTACCCAGATTTAAAAATAGTTATGCAAAACAGAGCGTGTCCGCTCCCACCGGCTTTTAAAGGGTTAATATCTAATAGGTTTGCTGCACTTATCACTTATATTTTTTTAATTAGCTGGAACAAAGAAAGTTTGAGAGAAATTGTGTCAAATTAAGTGTTCTATCATGTACTGCACCACCATGTTCACTGGCCCACATAGCAAAATTGGTATGGCCCGGATCAGGCCCACACAATGTGCTTACCCATATGGAAAAGATATATATAAATCTTATAAGGTTTGTATCTGTCTTGTGTGAAACTTGTATGAAAAGCATACAAGAGTAAAAACAGATATAAGATCCCTTAAAAAATTATATAATGAAACTTGTATGTTTTGGATACTTACTAAAACAATATACTGTATGAAAGTAATGTGAAAGTGGCCACTTTCATGAGTAAATCATGTAAGCCTTATATGATTTACTCATGAAAGTGGCCACTTTCATGAGTTAAGTCATATAAGTTTTTACTATTTCTTTTCCATATGGGTACACATGGCCCACATACCGCAAAGAATGACGGCCCTTTAGTGGCCCACACATGGGCCAGCACAAGGCCAGTTGCATACACACTGGTGGTCCTGTGCTGGCCCATGTGTGGATTACCTCTGGCAAACCTGATCTGAGCCACCAAAGGGCCGTCAATCTTTGCGGTATGTGGGCCATCTGTAGGTGGTGTGCAGCCACGGGCCAGTTGTAGACACACTGCTGGCCCTGTGCTGGCCCAGAACAGTTTTACCTCTGGCCCCAGATGTCAGCCTAATGTATACCTTAATCAAGCCATGCAATAACAACATGTGCCAGAACATGCAAAACAGTGCAACAGTAACAATGCCATTAACTCTGTTCAGACAGTGAATGGACTGATTCTTATATGGCGCTTTTCTAATCTCCCAGATTACTCAAAGTGCTCTATACAACATGCCACCCAATCACACAATTTCGCTTAACTGAGGGCATTCATACACATTCATACTCTTGACATGCAGACTGGAGGAGGCAGGGATCTAACCACTAACCTTCCGATCCGTTTGTAACCTGCTTTACCACCTGAGCTACAGCCTCCCACTGGCAAAGATGAGTAAACCCTCACTAGGTTTTGGATAAAGTACACTCACAAACCTGTCAAACCTGCATTTGAGACATTGGCTACCATAGCAGTATAGTATTGCAACATGGCATTTGGGTCTTCTAACTAAAATAGGAAAATAGGAACATAAATAGTGCCATTATTGCCAGACGTGGCCCACATCTGGTTGACATACACCCTGCCATGACACCAGTCAGTCAGAAGTGCCAGCTTGATGCCAGATCCGGGCTAGACCTGTTTTCCATGAGCCTGGGCCCCATAACCCAAACCATAATCGGGCCAGTTATTGCATGCCAACGCATAAACAGTGGCATCATTGCCAGACCTGGCACACATCTGGTTGACATACACTCTGCCAAAACACCAGTCAGTCAGAAGTGGCAACTTGATGCCAGATCGGGACCAGACCTGTTTTCTGTGGATCTGGGCCACATAAACCAAACCACAATCGAGCCAAATATGGCATGCCATCACATAGTGCCATCTATGCCAGACCTGGCCCATATCTGGATGACATACGTCTTATCATGCCAGAAGTCAGCTAGCAGTGCTGACTTGATACCAGATCCGGGCCAGACCTGTGGGGGTTGGTTTTGTAATGTGCTAACAAGATGGACTGATGAGAGCACAACATCTGTTTGTTAAACAAGCTGAGGGAACAAATTCAGGCCAGGGACTGTGTTCAATGATTACAGAGTTAAAGCACAGGATGAGCTGCATTTGCAGAAAGATTTGGACCAAAACCAATCCATCTTAGTTGCTTTGTCTTATTAGACATTATGAGACAGCTCTATAGCAATACTTGTCCTAAATACATGTTGCAAATATAGACTGTATATAAAAGATGCACAAACACACTGTTAGTTCACCCACTGATTTCTAGACTGATCATTTTGAAACTTTAGCATTAGCATATTGGTGGCCCATGTTGAATGAGGAGTAACTTTGGAGTAGAGAGTGGTCAGATAACACTAGCATGGTTATCTATTTAGGTTCTCAGTCATCCAGGCCGTGGTAGCCTTGCATGCTCGGTTAGCAATCTGTATCCATAAAATGTACAGGAACAGGTAACATAACTATGTCCCTTTGATACAATTATGAAAACTGCAAAATGTCCAATAATGCCCAACCTGTTTTTGTACCAACTGGGTTATTTTAACATGGGAGGTTATAGGGATGGTCTTAGTTTTAGAAACAACCTCAAGTGTCCATGATAAGATCAAAATGAACCAAGCAAGACAAATTAGCATAATTTGCCACAATCAGGAAAAAAGTGCAGATAGGGAAACATAGACGTGATGGGAGTTTATGTGATTTATAACGCATGCTTCTTTGGTGTTCTTTTTGGAGAGAAGATGAACAAACTTAAATTATACGTTTTCAGTAAGTTTTCAAAATGTATGAAATGGTTGAAGGTTCAAGTTAACATGGCGCCATAGACCTTCGTGTGTTCAGTGGACCAGACAGACAAATGGTGCCACTCCCAGGTGAATAAAGTTTTTACATTATGGTACAAACAAGACATGACTGTGATTGGTTAAAAAGTTGGGGAAGAGCCTTGGCTCTCCCGCATTTGGCACTTGGTTTGACTCCTGGCTCATCTTACATTCAAGTCCAGTTGGGCATTTCCGTGTGAAGAGAAAAAGGGGAAAAAACTCCTCCCTACTTAGTC